TTAATAAGACATGGAATATGAATGCAGTGGGAGGATATTAAGGTCTAAGATGGGAGATTCCCTGAAGCAGAAGACATTACTAGCATGATAGATTGTAGGCTAAGGAGAAAGATGAGGTGCTATTTCAGTCTATTTGGGGAAATGTCTGGGTGTGGACCATGCAAATGAGCAGTGCATAAGATGATGAGAACCTGATGTAGTAGAAGAAGGAGTCTGAGGGCACGGACCATTTGGAGGAAGGCTGAGCGGTGCAGGTAGCAGGGAGGAAGAGTAACAGTTTACAGTGAGGGGGAAAGTGTATGAACAGAGTGATCCACCTGTTATTAGACCCAGAAGAGTCAATTGTCTCCTGTACCATACCATACCATACCATACTTGCATGAAATATGTTAGGAGCTTTGGAGTGGAGAATAATTAGTATGCTATGACACCCATATCATACTAAGTGCTCTACTGCTCTTTGCTGTCTATGTCAAAGAAAGAAGTCAGTATTGACTTGAATATTGCCTAAATTCATGCCTTCATTTTCATTTCTTTATTACTGAATATACACCATCCCTTAATATAAACAGAAAGCTAGTTTACAACAATTTAAAAATAGAGAATATTAAAAGAATAAAAAGTGATGCTTTTAAAGTTAAACCAAAAATTAAAATCAGTATCCTTCAAAAAATAAAAATGGCTAGATTGCTAAAATTAGACCCAGCAAAATGTAATGCTGTTGATCAACAGGAAATGACTCAAAGATTGGAGGTCTGCCATTCAGGAATATATCACATTCCCCCTGAAAGAACAGGTGCAGAGAATCTAGGAGTCCTCCTTTATCCTCAAGTGTCACTGGGTTCCCAGGTAACAGCTGTGGTGTGTCATACATTTGTGCCGTTGCAAGTGCTTCAGCTTCATCCGTTCCAATTTAATTATTACTACATGCTCTACATGAAACTGTCCTTGAAAACTGTTTAAAAGTTCCAATTAATGCAAAATACAAGAACTAGGTTAATGATGCAAGATCACATGAAAGCTGTTTTAAGACCTGCACTGATTGCTGGTTGCTTTCTAGGCCCAATTGAATATGTTGCTATGAATCTTTAAAGGCTGAGTTTTCCAAAATCTGGGGTTTCAGGTTCCAGACTGAGTTGGGTCCAGGTGAGTTATAATGGAGGAAGCTGATAGCATCCGGGTGCACTGACTCAGGTCTACTGAACTGGAAATATTCCTTATAAAATGTAAAGTAAAACAGATTGACTTTACACCAGTCTACATATTCTTAAGCATTTGACATAGATAACATGGTTTTAGACTAAAAGACGGGCCCCGATATTTCTGGGCATAGGGAATTTTGGTAATATTGTGTATATTTTCCTAAAATGGCTATCGTAGGAACATTTGCCTGATTATATAATGACTGTCATAATGACATGACTAGTTCCAAAACAAAAAGGCACAATGGAGAAGTTGAGAGAAAAATAACTTGCCTAGTATGCCAAATATAAGGCAGAAATGGAATCTGAGTTCAAAATACAAAACCACTTTTTCGAACCAGTTCACAGAAGGAGTAATTCCAAATGCCCAATTGCATATAGTACCCATACTATATGGATGATGAACTGCTGGTGCACACCCACCTACCCACTGAAACCTATCTTGAAAAATAGGCACATACCACATCAATAAAGGTATTTCCACTTTGTTAAAATGTAAGTAAATAGCCAACAGAGAGAGAGCACAAGCAAAACATCACTCTCATCATTTTTGTTTCCTCAACTAGGTTGCACCATCACTGTTCTGGGAAAGGTCATCCATCAGAGTAACTCAGGCTATTTCTATGTCAAATCCAGGTGTTTACATCTCATTCAGAAAGTCATTAAGTTGATGTTTGTTATGACTGAATCATAAATCAAAGTAAATCAAAGCTCAGTCCTAAAAAGACGTTGATATTGTTGGTAGATGCTGTGCCTGTTCAGGAAGGACATATCTACAATCTGTTGCAGATGGATGCTAAAAAGGATCAGTCTGCAGTCTGGATGTGAGCATAGATCCCCCTTGGTTGCTGGAATCTCAAGTGTCAACAACATAGTCCACCAGGTGAGACTGGTGTGCCTGTTGTGACTCCTCCTTCCAGGAAGAGCCTGGCTAAACTTATCTGTAGTGAAATGATAATCCCCAGATCATATTACTTCTACCTACTGCATGTGGGGCTGCCTTTTAAGGTTGCTCAGAAACTAGCACTAATTCAACATAGAGATGATAGACCACCAACTGGGATCAGTTGATAGAACTGCTTAAAGAACTCCTCTAGCTCCTTATCTGTTAGGATCTGGGTTCTTGGAGAACTGGTAACTCCAATATCTATTTGTATATACTGTATACCAAGATTGGCTTTTGAAGAGGAAAATGTCTCCAGTGTCTGAAGTAAGGCAGGCAGTTCCCTCACCTACAGAATTCTCATTTTGATGAGGCTTGTCTACCACCACCTTGACTGTCCCATGGAGCTGCTTGAGTGCCCAGTGGGCAGAAAAATGGGATCCATACATACTTTTTAAGCCCCTGAAATGTTATTTATGGAGAACATTTATTCAACAACAATGACTTATTTATTTATTCCAAACAAGGAACAAATACAAATAGCTTACACTCCTTGATCTGTTTTCTTTTGTGGCAGACTTCATTCCCTGGCTAATTCTTCTTTTTCTTCTTTCTGAGCTCTTCCTTATCCTATAATGTATTCACTCCTTTTCTTTTTCTCCTAATAGGATCACAGTCCATCACATCTTCATTCCTGTTCTGTTTTTCCCTGCCGCTTGACTTAAAGTTGCAATTTAAGACCCTTTCATTCTGAATGCTGCTTATTGTTCTTCTTGCCTTAAGCTGTATGCCACCTTGGAAAGGTTTTATACTGAAGGACTGGCTGCAAATTTTGTTTATTTCTTTACACACTGTTTAACCCGCTTTTTACTATAAAAAAACAACGACCAGTGGACGGGGAGCCCATAATGGAGCAGTCATGCCAGTTCTGGCCCATACAAGGCTTTGTATGTTGGGATGAGAACGTGGCTCAGCAGTATATTGTACATGTGGCAATATTTGGTGGTGGGCAGGGAAGAAGGGTCACTTCTTGTGTAAATAGGCTATTTTGTTCTGTTGTTTAAATTATGAGGAATTAAGCAAGTCACTTTGCAATTCATCCATGAACTATCTCCTAAAGAGGCAGTCCGCTTCTGCTGGTAGTTGAACTCTGTCACTGGGTTCATCTAATGAGAAACTCCTGCACTGCACGGTAATGCTCCTTTCTTTCAACATATTAATTTCAATAAGACACTGCCATGCTGTATGTTCTAACGTTTGCCTTTCCACAAATTAATGGACGTGCTTTATCAGGTGACAGAAGAATTCAGTATCAATATTGTTTTCA